TTTGAGAAAAACTTCTAAATTATCAACGACATGGAAAGCCATGAGTTAGGCAGGTCCGATTATTAAAAAAGGTATTGGTTGGGTCATTGGTGATGGCTTATCTATGAGCTTTTGGCATGATAATTGGTTGGGATCTAGAAGTTTAAGAAATGTTGTTCATGGACCTCTTAACTAATAGGAGGATCAAATTTTAGTGAGCCAGTGTCTAAATGCATTAAAAAAAATCAATCTCTTTCAATTTCTTTCAAACTCAATGCTGATATTTTAGATAAGATAAATGCTATCCCTATTCAATTTATGGGACAGGGACAAGAAAGTATATACTTGTTTGCATCCTCTAGTGGGGTATTCATTACCCAATTTGCTTATGCCTTTGCTAGAGGAACAAGTTTGAACAAGAATAAAGGTTAATGGGAATGGATATGAAAGTTATGGGCTCTGCTAAAAATTAAGTTTTTCATCTGGCAATGCATACATTATATCTTGCCTACACGTAATAAGCTTGCTAGAAGAGGGTTGAACGTCCCAATTACTTGTGTGTTCTAAATGCATGATTTAAAGGATTTGGCACACCTATTTTACAATTGCTAGTGGACCAAAAACATATGGGCTACCTTACGAGGAGCTTCTTTGTCTCTATCCCATCAAATCTTGGACTGTAGATAATGGATCAAAGAAAATGCTTTAAACAAGCATCGATCCATGCATGGTATCCCTTGGTACCTATTGTTTATCCATATTTTATGAGAGATTTGGCTTAAAAGGAATAGAAAAAATTTTAGACAAAATGGTGAGACCACTGACTTTGTGAAATTGACGACTACGAAGGCTGTTGAATTCTTTGCAATGAACCAGAGAGGAGTTCGAGCTCCGTCATAATCTTTTGTGTCAATTAGGTGGAACCCTCTTAATGAGAGATTGTATAAATTGAACACAGATGGCTTGGCATTAAGCAACCTTGAGAAAGCAGGAGCTTGAGCCATTATTCGAGATAGTGAGAAAAATGGATTTCTGGTTCCTCTAGATATATTGGTGTGTTCAAATATTTTGGCTGAATTGTAGGCTCTGAGAGATTGATTATTTTTGGCAAAAATACTCAATATCCACAGGTTAAAAATTGAACTCGATGCCACCACTACTATCTCCATGATTAAGAATCACCAGGTGACTAATCCTATAGTACTCTCTTTGGTCTCTGATTGCAGAAAATTGATGAAAATCTTGAAGATCAACGTATGCTTCATGTGTTTAGGGAAAGGAATATGTGTGCTGACGCCTTTGCCCGGTTTGGTAGTAACAATTGTTGTAATAGTTCTAATCATTACGAGGTCAACTATATGGTGTTTAAGGAACCTCCTTAATTCGTTAAAGATTTAGTTCTCGCTGATGAAACTGGACATGCTATGTATCATATTATTTTATAATTAATTCATTCCTGTTTCTTACCAAAAAAAGAACGAGGGATTTTTTTTATTGGAAAGGGTGCTATTTTTTTTACCTAAAAAATGGAACATGAATCATGCCTAATAAACTAATGTTTTAATAATATATTTCATAAACCAATATTAATTAATTAGGGTAATAATGGATACTATATGTGATAATAAAGGAAATTGATAATATTATACTAAAAAAATACCACTGAAGATATTTATTGGATATATTAAAATGAAAAGGAATTTTATAATGGTACTTCACTGGGTCTATGCGAAGATATAAAATCTCACAAGGGCATAGGTATTTCACTCCCTCCTAGGGGTAATGCCCGGATGGAGGGCTTATGTTATGCACATGCAAATTAATAACAAATATATACAATAAATAGATAATTAGGCAAATATATGCAATGAAAAATAAGTAGGTATACACAATGAAAAGGAAAATAAATAATAAAAGCAGATATAAGCAATAAAAGAGAATAAAATAATTTCAAACTTATTAAGTAAAGTTTAGATAATAAGAAATCATTTATTGGCTTAACTCTCAATGTCCTCAGTGAAGTTGTCAAACTGTCATAACGTATAGATCCGCGGACCTATCTCTATACATAAGTTAGAAGGAGTTGTCATTAATCTTTTTTGTTTATATGTGATTGGCTACTTAAAATATATTCTGATATGCGAAAATAAATGTTAGATTCGTGAGTTGGTTACGCATGAAAAATGTTGTAGCACCCCCCACAACGTCCATCCAAAGGATGGTATTGGTATGATTTCAAATAATCCAAGCCTTAATTATTTTTATGATTTACCAAATAATTTAATATTGAAATTAATCTTAAAATTGTTTCAATAGTTTGATAGCAATTTAAGATAATTTTTACCTTAAAAGTATTCATAAAGACTAATGTCCCATTCTAAAGAAGCTTCATCGTCGAATTTATTATAATATTTTATTCAAGAAAATCATTGAAGTCTCCAATAGTTTGGTAGGACTTACTTTGAAGCAGATCTCTCAATAATTCGGTGAGATTTTATTACCAAAAGATTTGTAAAATTTTTTAAGAATTTTATTAAGTCTTCTAATAGTTTGGTATGACTTAATTTATGAAGTAATCCTCCAATAGTTTAGAGGATAAAAATTATTTTTATTTTTTATCTTTTTGAAAACTGATTTATGAAATTTCTCAATAGTTTGGAGTATCTATTTTAAAAATTAAATCCATGAAAATTATTTAATAGTTTGGTAGAATTCATGAATTTATTTTGTAAGGATTTTTAATTAAAAAAAAGATTTTTTATTTATTTCATAAATAAGTACAAAAAAAATCATAATAATAAATAATGTATTTTTTTAATTTAAAATAAGAAATAATAAAAGTAAATAAAAATAAACAAAATAAGAAAAATAAAATCAAAATAGAAAATGGAGTGAAAAAAGAAAAAAAAATACTTGTAATCAGGTAGGGTTGTGCATGGTAAAACACATAGATCGTAATGTCTCAAATTTTAGGCTTTTTATTCAGAAGTGTTTCAGTATGCCTTTTTCTCTAAAATGGCTACTCTTATGTCTTCTCTTTAATTGATTTTCAAAAATTAACAAATAAATCTCAAAAGCTAACAGATAATTTTTAGGAACCCAAAAAATTATTTAGAAACCTAAATCCAGGAATCTCTAGAATGCAAAACCCTACAGAAATTCAAATCCAAAAACACCAAATTTTAATTCTAAAAAATCTAAACAAATCAAACCCAGAACCTAAAATCTTTTGGTTGCTAAACAAATTTTTCTCTTTTTTTCTCAAGAGTTTTTGTATAATCTTTTTTTCTTTCTCCTATGCACCTTTGCTTTGATCACATGTTTATATAGAAATTCACGCTCAATCAATTCTTCTTAAATCTATAATTTTATTTGATTTTCGTTTTAATAAGAATTGATTCTGAAATTAAATCTCAAAATCTCTTCCTATCAATTTAATGTAAATTGATTAGGAAATTAAATCTCGACAATCTCTCCACATCATTTTTAATGCCAATTGATTTTAAAATTAAATACTAAAAATCTCTCCGTTACGATTGAAACCTAATTTCGAAAAAATATTTTCAGACAAAATAAAATATCTACAATGAAAACAAAAACAAACCAGAAAGAAAAGGCGAAGCCAACCCTATGCTCTGCCTCTACTGAATCCCTTGGGCAATAGGCAGCAAATGTCCATCAAGATGCTGCACTACATTTGAAAACAACATATGAAAAAAACACAATAGTTATTGTTGATACATTGTTGTTCAAGATAAGCAGATATTAAATTAACATCGAAATAATAAAAAAAGTTGGAATATAAATAAAAAGCAAAAATCTTAACCAATAAAAAGAAAAGGGAAATAGGATATGCTCTCACTAGAATAGAAAGATCAGACCTTCCATGGAGCAAACAAGTCCCATCCTCGCTGAAATCCTGTGGTACATATCACAGCTTCTGAATCATCACCAATTGCTTCTGCTAGCTTTGCAGAACCCTCTGTGACATCTGCTTGCACCTGCAAAACCAGATACAACGCACAGAATCAACAGAAGCCAATTACACAACCAGAGTTCAAATTTTAAAAAAATTGAAAAAGAAAGAAAAATAATAAAAAAATGTGAATCCACTTAATTAAATAAAAACAATTAAAAAAAAGGGTGATGCGGATACCTTCAAATCTTTCCGATCTCTAGAAAATTAAGTATATAGATCTTAATTGTTTAAATAAAGGAGAAAAAATTGTATGAATGAAGATATATCTATTTTATTCAAATCATGATACATAATTACATTATAAGAAAGAATTAATCATTTATTAGACATTATATGTGGCAATTAAAAGAAAAAATTTACTTCAGTATATTAATTAATTATTTTATAATAAATAATTATTTCTTTAATAATGTAATTATATAATTTGATTTGAATAAAAAAAACATATATTAGCATAACATTATTATTTCATATAATTTTTTTTTTGTAATTATATAACATGATTTGAAATAAAAAAAAGTACTTCTTTGATACAAGAATTGGCTGATATATGTTTTTTTTCTATCGGCATAATCTTGAGCTTCCAACTCAATTTTTTTCGCTTCCTTTCTTTTCTTTCCTATTCTATACACTATAGTTCTGAGACGAAAACACCGAGCGGTATAGCAATGAGCCTCTTTTCCTTTTTCCTCTTCCGCCCTACAAGAGACCGTGCATTCAGAGGGTGAGAATCGAATCAATATATTTTAGATAAATTACTTTTACAAAACGAAAATAGAAAACCTTACTCAATGGCTCAATGAATAAGGCGTTGGTCTACAAAATTAGAGATTTTGGGTTCGATCCCCACTAGAGTCGGTTTTTTTTTTTTTCCACCTATCTTTTTTGTTAATTCAAACAAATCTTGGACTCGAACCCAAATGGAGGCCGACTTTTCTATGTTTTTCCCATCTATTTTGTTATTCCAAACAAATCTTGAGCAGCCAACTTGTGTATGACATTTGATGCAAAAATCCTCAGCCCTGAGGCCCAGTCCTCAACTCACTAACATAACTCAAGACCAGAACAAGATATTATTGATTATCATAAAAAATAAAATAATAGTTTTAATTCTTGGGCTAACTAAGGCTCCATTTGGGAACCCGGTAAGAATGCTTCCATTGCATTAGAGCGTGCATTTTTATGACTGGATGCTCAAAATTAATACAGTACTAACGGTTACAAAATACAAATGGCTCAAGAAAGTTACAAGATTTAAAAGGCCACCATAACAGATAAATAGCTGACTCTCAACACATAAGATCTATATCTTCCATAACAAATGTATAGACCAACTGAAGAACCAAGTGATGAGACTTCACGGTTTGAAGGCAGAAAATGCCACCACAGAGTTGTGTCCGCCAAATCCAAAAGAATTTGAAATTGCTGAATCATAAACATATTCACACAGTTAGTATCATGAATTTTACTCCAAATCAACCAAAATTAAATTAAAAGGGGAGACAGGGTTGAAGAAATTGCAACAGGAACTGGTCATGTTGTTTGAAAGTGTTATAGGACTAGGAATCTTGCCGATGTTAACCTCTTTTTGCTGCTTTTCATTGGCAACAGTGTCAAACTCAACTGAAGGCTCTAGATCCTGTTAACCAAAAAGAGCATATCAATAAACTTTGAAACTTTTTAAAAGAGAAAGAACAGAGGATGGGTGGGGTTTGGTTCGTGGGCATTAAAATCATGGCTAAACAAGGCTCACATATTATCTTAGGCTGGTTTAAATACATTTCCCAGAGCAAACATGGTAGTATTAAATAAGTAACTAGCACGTACAAATTGATTTATGGTGGGATGCAGCCATCCTGTGGTAATGGCCTTGACAGTGGCAATGGCTTCTAAACCACCCGCTGCACCCTCGCAGTGCCCTATCATAGACTGAAACAAGAACCAAAGCGATCAGCCAACAGCAAGAGAGCAACACTACAGTATGGTCATCTCAAATTTTGCATATTTTGGGAGAGAAAGAGAAGGTACCTTTGTTGCGTTGATTTTGATATCTGATGTATTCTTGAATACATTTCTAATAGCATTTATCTCAGCCAGGTCACCAACAACAGTAGATATTGCGTGTGCGTTGATGTAATTAACCTAAAAAGCAGGACTGGCTTAGGTTGCTAAACATCTAAATAATTACAATTTGAACCCCATTATTTTTACTTTCATTTTTTTATACTTGACGTCAAGATTTGAATTCTGATAACTAAAATTAAAAATTATTCTACCAATAGTTTATATGACTGTTAGCGATTATTCACTTTCACATTTGAAAAAATCAACATATTAAGGCATTAACTAATCTAAACAATGACTTGAAAAATAATCATCAGGTCTGTTTTCTATAATCTCACTTAAATTGAAGCCTAAATCTAATAGATAAGAAAAAACAAATTAGAAAATTGAGAAGTTAACTAGATTCATATACTTAAAGGAGTCTCAACCCAAAAAGTACCATCTAAGTTCTCCATAAAACAGAAGTAGCAGGAGCTGTTGAATTTATTTTTCAAAAAACAAATGCTTGCACTAGAGTCAATGGATGTAAATAAAAAGAAACCAACATAAAATGGGAAATGAGAAATATTAAGAATCTGAGAAGACTCGATTGCTACTATAATAACATTACTCCACCGTATAACAAGAGAATTGGGTGAAAAAGAAGAAAGAATTACCTCCTCAGGGGAAACTCCAAGGCATCTCCCAATGCATGAAGACACCCCAATACCATCAGCTCTTGGATCCGTAATATGATAACTATCACAATTGATTGCTCCACCTAAGTATTCAGCAATAATTGGCGCTCCTCTTTTCATTGCATTTTCCAAGCTTTCCATTACCTGGAAAGCAAAAGAAAATAAGTTAAACAACTCTTTGTGAAAGGTTTTTGCATTATCCCCTCATCAAAATCAGTCAGTAAAGGTCATATTCGTAGCCAACTAAGTAACAATCGAACAAGAATCTGTATGCAAAAAGTAGTTCAATCCATTCCTTGAAGACTTTCATTATTCAACCAAGTAGTTTAGTGTGATAAATGAGGGGAAAAGAATGCAATGATAACTAGAAATCTTTTCCTCACTTCCCAAGTCGGTAAAATCATGCTTCAGTCCTACCAAACCTCCCAACAATGTGCTAGAAAGTTCACATAAATAGCGAATTAGGCTCCATCAAACAACACATTCCAAGGCCAAGATTTCAGTTTATATATTATGTGGAAACCAGTCAGTGTCTCATAGTACACACAAACACAACCACCGTATCCGGGGTCCGTCACAGATATCCTTAAAGGATGACAGAAAAGCCTAGTTCTCTTAACAACAGTATTGCGTGTCACCAACAGAGGCAAAACAAGATGCCAACTAGAAATAGACAACGTAAAAACCAACAAGAAGCTAATTATTCATCTATACAGTTATCAGGTTAAACGAATGCAAGCTTACCAATACTCCAGCACCTTCACCCATTACCAAGCCATTTTGATCTCTATCCCATGGCCTTGAAGCAGTTTGAGGATCGTTATTTCTTTGAGACAAAGCCTTACATGCAGCATAAGCTGCTAGTCCAATAGGACCAATCATAGCTTCTGTTCCACCTGCAATCATAACTTCAGCGTCACCTCGACGGATGTGGTTGGCTGCAGCGTAGAAGCAATAATTGGATGCAGCACAAGCAGTTGACATTGAATTAGTGGGATCCTTGAAACCAAACTCAGTTGCAACCAAGGCAGGTGCCATGTTTGATAGAGTATAAGGAGCCAAGAATGGTGTTATTTTTCTGTAATCTTTCTCGGACAGAATTTGAAAGCCATAAGATAACATTGTAATGCCACCCAAAATAGATCCAATAAGCACTCCAGTTCGCTCCTTATCAATCTGCAATGAATACAAAGTTCAACAAATTTGGTGAGCACAATAATGAAGCACTATACTAAAAAGAGCTAAAATTCCAATGCAAAGCTAAAGCAGAAAACAAATTAAGTAATAAATAGATAAGCTAATCACTTGACTAGAGAAAGGATGAGAATATGCATCCCAAAGTCCTGTGTGAAAGTTCATTGTAATTCTTAAAAATCAGATGTCACCCTCAGCATATCTATTTTTCTTGTATCCTTTTCATTCTGTAGGGTAAGATAATTAAGAAATCATTATTCATAGGGATAAAAAATTTAATCAATAATTTTATCTTCTTCAAACACCTTTTCAAAGGCATATTTCTGGTGCATGTAAAATTAGTAATCTGATCCAAATGAATTGCTTTCAAATATAAGATATATATCACATATTAATGTTTTTATAAATATATAGTTCCCATGAAGATTATCTCTTTATATATCAAATGTTCAAGTTCAAGATAACTCATTGGCAATTATATATCCAAGGATTCTCAATATGTAAAAGCTGCATCAAAGTTGTGGGCTGAACAGCCACGAGTTTGAATGAAATGAAGAGAATGGAAAGCATAGTCAATACAGTTTAGAAATAGAGCAAAAAAATTTGTGATCAGTCCATTACTTTTATCAAAACAAGCAATATATCGTTCTAGCTAGTCAAAAGTATATACTATATTTAATCACATTATGGATTCCATATGAATATGGTAAATCACGTATCATCTAATAAAACTATAAAAATTCTTAGAAGAAAGAAAATTTTGGCAAAAAGAAAAAATGCTGAGAAAGAAATTGCAAACGATTCCATTAATTGCTTAACTAAATCAAGATTATAGAATAGTATTTTCAGAATATGATCGAATTAATCAATTATCGAAAATTAGTTATCAGTTCAATTTTTAAAATTGATAAATCTTATTTACATCAGATTGATCAAAATTTTTTAAGTCAGATTTGATTGGAGAGGATTATTAAATTTAATATTAAATTTATTATTTAAATTATTCATTATTCCTTAAAATATTTGATAAGTGGTAGGATTGAGAACCTTATCACTTTGGAGTTTCATTAATGTACTAATCATCAATTCAATTGTATTTATTAAGTATTTGTCATGTTTAATAAAAAATAATGCATTTAAAATATAATTAATGTTTCAACTGAATCGGTTCCATTGATGAATCCGGAATGAGTGATTCAACCTTCAACCTTATTATTAAAACATTGCTATAAAACATTCAAAAATGAAGTAAAAAGGAAATTGTCTTGCCGGTTAACCATGTTCGGGTGCCCAGAGTCTCTAATCTATAAATTGCCATGTCATCATACCTACTCTTCAATTTAATTCCATGTTACCATGCCACTTGTCAAATGGAAAACAAAAATAACTATAAGGATATAGTTAAAAAAATTATAAGAGTTATATTAGATTTTTTCCCACTAAAACTAAAAAACCCAAAAAAAAAAAAAAAAAAGAGAGAGGCCACCTTAGATAACTTAGCACCCCCGAGGTCAGGGCTTTCAAGCGCCTTCTTGCCCGCAACAAGGGAGTACCTCAAGCAATCGTCAAGCCTCTTATCCTTCTTTCCATCAATGTAACCTCCAGAAGTGAACTCCCGGATCTGACCAGCGAACCGGGTTGAAAACTTGGATGTATCGAACCTTTCGATGGGTCCGACCCGCTCTCTCCAGCCAGCAATTTATCATAGTAAGCATCCACATCATTCCCGAAAACGGAAACCAATCCCATACCCGCAATAACGACTCGTTTTTTGGGGTCTTTCTCGCGCTTGGGAGCAGAAGCGGTGGGGGATGAAGCGGTAATGGAAGAGAATTTCTTGGTTGGCCTGGGCGGGAGTCTTGACACATTGGGAAAATGAGGATTGTGGTTGGGTTTTTTGAGAGGGTTTAGAAGGGAAGTTCGTAGAGATGGGGTTGGGAGAGCTTGCATGGTTGAGGCCTGAGGGAGGAAGCTGATCAGGGTGATTATAACGAAGTGAATAGGGAACAATGAAAGGAAAAGTGGACTCAGTATTATTTTGGAATGGTCAGCTATAAATTAAAACTTTGTATGCGGAAGAGAATCAATTCAACTGCTTATAAGTGGAAGTAAAAGAAAAATAATACTGCACTACTGTTATATTATAAACATTCAAATATGGGCTGCGGAAGGAAATACTTCGAGCGGGGGCGTTTGCCTGCACATTACGCGCCGCAGCGTTGATTCTGAATTTTTTTAATTATAATATATAAAAAATCATAAGTATAATTTTAAAATAATATAAATTATATTATTACAGTTATTGACAAAAAAAATTTATATATTAAAAATATATAATATTTTTAGTTGCTTGATATTGATTTAATGATCAAAATAATCTTAAAAAAAATATCATCAAAATTTAAACTTTTAACTTTTTTTTTTTATCTTAATACAAGACTCTGTACCTTCAATGACAAAATATATATATATATATATAATTACATCATTATTAATACTATTAATTACATCTTTTTAATATTAATTCATCCACAAATTGTCTAAAACGTGGACCGTTCATTTTTTTAATATCTGTCCATATATCAATCAATTCTCTCAACAAAAATAATGTTTAACAATTTTAAAATATTCAAAAAAAATTTAAAAAATTTTTTTTTATAATTTTTAAACATCCATAAACACATTCTCTCAGCAATAGAATCCAACTGACCGTTGGCATTGGGAACGATAATCGAGTTGATGTGATGAATTGTTGGGATCCAATTATTTAGTCAAAGGAACTGTGCATTTTTTTTTCTTTTAGACAAAAAAATTGTCCGAACAAGTTGTTGTCATGCAAATGGTCAATTTACTATCACTAGAAATGTAAATGAATAAAAATTTTCGACAAAATATTTATGAACATATTTATTTTTATTTATTTATTAAATTTAATTAATAATTTTAAATAATATTTTTATATTTATTTATTAAATAAATTAAATAAAAAAATATTTTATTGGATTAATTTATGTTTACGTATAAATTCATTTAATGTTTGTGAATATATTTAATGGTTAAATGATTAATTTAAAATTAAATATTTACGTAATTATTTAATTTAAGATTAAATATTTTAATTTATATAAATAAAAATAAAATATTAATAATTTAAGATTTTTTAAATAAAAAAATTTAGATAAAACGTACAGATCATATTATAACATCAGAAGTTTAATATTCAATTGACTTGACTTTTTTTTACTTATTTGACTATCCAGTTGGCACAAATGGTTTTTCACTTTCGTTTTTTTCCCACTCTTCTTTCTACCACTTCATTCTCTTTCTTTCACATCCACTCTCCCATATTTTTCAAATCACATTCCTCTGAAAATTATCATATATGAATCCCAAACATATATGAGAGTTAAGCTTATGCTCTTATTGTAGATAATTGAATTAGTATCTAAAGGTAGTTTCAATTTTTTTCTAAGCAACTCTGCTACAAAACAATAAAAAATAGAAAAGAACAGAGACATAGAGCAAAGACAGAATCTGTTATGAAATTATTGTGTGAACGAAACATATGAATTTAAAACTCTATCACTTTAATTTAAATCAATACTTTTTCACGCCTTTCATAAACGTAAGACTCCAAGATATTTTTCTTATCTGGTTTACTCCATCTTCAAATCTTGTTGCATCAACCAACATTCTTTCTCTTTTGCTTGAAGGAGCTCAGCCATTTCCATTCCTCCGCAGATACTCTCGTTAATTGAAATCTACAACCTTTTTACAACTCTTCCTTTTCTTGCTACATCTGCCCATACAAGGTAAAATGGGTTTTGGGTTGGTTAAAAACATGACGAAATAGTGAAGAGTTTTCAGTGAAAAGCTATGGGTATTTGGAAAACTAAAATATTGAAAGGCTTTGGATATTTGAAGAACTAGAATGCATGAAGAAGATCTAATAATGGTGGAAAGCAACAGCTATTTGAAGAAGTAGAAGACAGGAAGAGAGTGGAGAGAGAAAAAGATGGTAGAGACAAGATGAAGAAAAAATGAAACAAATATTAATTTTTTTATTTAAAAATTATTTATCTTTTACGAGTCAACTTTTTTTTCTCAAACTTTTCACTTTAAAAAGCCTTAAATTATTATAAATTGATAATATTTAATATTTCTTCGTATAAATTAAATATTTATTTTTGAATTGAGTAATTGTGTAAATATTTTATCTCAAATTGATCATTTAATGAAATTTAATTATAATTTATTTAAAACATTAAAATTTAATTATTTTAAAATTTAATATCTTTTATCAATCTATAAATTATCATATAAAATTTATATCATTAAAAGTTACATATAACGTAAATCCAAAAAAAATTTTAACCTTTTAAAAATATTATTATAAAATAACTCTTTTTATATGTTTTAAAATTGAATAAACTTTGAATGAAATTTAAAAGAATATAAACATATTTTTAACAATCTCACGTCAGCATTAGAACAAAAACAAGCGTAACTAAATTCTATAAATTCCCATCCTTTGCCACACATATGTGTATCTCTGCCACCAATTGGTTATGGCTTATAATTGTGAGCTACAGTAAGGATTAAGTATATTTTTTGGAATTTAAAATTAGAGTTTGTTTATGTTAGACTAAAATTCAATAAAAATAATCAAATCAAATTTAACACGTATTGTCAAATTCATTAAAAGTTCATTCATTTATATATAAACTCGTTTATTATTAATTGAATTGAACTTGAACAAAAAAAAAAAATTTGGAATTCGATTCATTTATAGTTTGGGGGAATATAAACCATAATTATGGAGCATCTTTCATGGAATAAAAAGTTATTAACGTCTGATATTCCTTTCACATGTATATAAAAATTACAAAATTGATGAAAAAAGAATTAAGTTATAGATAAAATAGTAATAAGAAATTTTATAAATCAAATTGATGAAAAATATGAATTTATAATCATATTCTTTTTTTAAAAATAATATTTCATAACTTAGATTAATTGGTTTTATGGACAACCCACAGTCCCACACCTATCTGTATTGAATAATCTTGAGCTCCTCATCTTTTTTTTCATCCTCTACTCGACACATTGAAGAGAAGACCAACACTATTGCAACGGAGTAAGAGGGGGAAATCAAATGAGGCCCTCTTTATTATTATTTTTTTTTTTTTGCCTTGAGGAACACAAGAAGATACTCTGTTTTGGCGGGGATTGAGTCTAATTATTTTAGAAAAATAAGAAAAAGTAATGAATTTTTTAAAATTTTTATATCCAATAATAATTATTAAAAATTATCTGTGCAATAACATCGTTATTAGTATTTTTGAATAAATTTTTTTTAATGTACATAATTAAATTATCGTTTAATCATTAATTTTTCATTTGATTATGTAAATAAAGTTTTAAAATGTTTATTTTTAAAAACGCTTTTCAACAGCAACAAACTGACGCATTTTTGACAGTTCACACAACGATTTTTATTGATACGGGGACAAAAACCCGAGTTTCGCTTTGGGATTTGCACATTTGAATGTAATTTTTTTAATTAGGTATGATAATTTAAAAAATATTTGTTTTGAAATTTATATAATCTAATAAATGAGTAAGACAATTTAAAAAACCGATTTTCAAAGCCTATTTAATCTAGAGGTAATTTTCTTAAATAAGCAAGAAGATTTCATTAGTTTCATCAAATCACTTTAAAATTAAAAAAATAAATATATTAACTCATTTCATTTAATGGTCCATAATTTGTCCTTCTTAACCCATTTCTGACCTTATTCTATAATGCCTAAACTGCCCCGACCATCTCAAAATTTTCTCAACAATTGTTGTCGACTCGATAACTCATGGATACAACTTTTACTTAATGATTAGAAAACGAGAAAAAATTATATGAAATAATTACATTATGACCCAAAAAAATATTTATTATACATTACATATAATAATTGAATGGTGAATCACGTTAATATTTGTTTTTTTTTTTTTCATTTAAATCAAGATACATAATCATACTATTTAAAAAATTAATTATTTATTACACATGATATATGATAATTAAATAGTAAATATTTATTTTAATAGATTTATTAATTATTTTTTAAGTTATGTACTTATGTGACATAATTTAAATAAAAAAAATATTGACATGATAATCGTTTCATATAATCATTTTTTATATATAAGATAATAATAATTTATAATTAAAAATAAATAAAAGTAATCAATTTACTAAAAAAATTTTAATTAAAGATGTATTAAATCAAATAAAAATGCATTAATTACATGATGTTAAATTAAATAAAATTATTCATATGTCAAAAAAAAAAAGAATCATTTACATAGGATTATTATAGCTTTTGTCCATTACCAAAAACTTTTTTTTTTTTTATGTTTATATAAAATATAAGATATATATTTACTATCCCAAAGCATAGCAAGGAAAATACGTTAAAGATCGAATTCAAACCTTTTTTGTGTTATCAACACCCCTAAGGCCTTTTCATCTAACATTTAAACTCGAAGCTAACAAGAACATATACAATAAATTAATAAACTTATTAAAAAAAAAAATAAATACGTGAGAGATGGCAATAGTTTAACTTTTATAGTATATATAGGTTAATCTTCATAATACTTTTATTAATAGATTGGTATAAATATATCATAACAAGTAATAAATATGTATACTAAGCGATAAGTTAAATTATATGAAAAAGTACATGAAGTTAAAGAAACTTTTAAAAATTAATGTATACTAAATTGATTTTAATATATACCAAATTTATAAAATTATCTAGATTGTTAACAAATACTGTTTGTAACAAGATAAACATTTTTTTCGTTGAATTCTTTCCTAGCAAGATTAAAATATAATATTATATTTTCACTAAAAAACTTTAATATTTGATATAAATCAAAATTATTAATAATCATCTTACCTTTAACTTAGTTGACATGACATTAAATTTTGCACTTAAAAATTATAAATTCAAAAAAATTTAATAACATAATATCCTTTTAAACTCAGTAAATATAACGATAGAAGGTTTAATGGTAGATTAAAAATAAAAAAAAATCAAATTTATTAAGATATTGTTGAAATTCCACCAAAAAAATCTACATGAGAGTGAATTACTCTTATAAATCTAACAAATAAATTTATTTTTAAAAGAATATTAACTTATCTTAAATGCAAAATTAGTGAAGCAATTTTAAGATGATTCAAACTTTTTTTCTTTAAAATACATTCATTTTTTAATAATATTGTTCATTGAATTTTGATTATTTTCAAAAGTTTTATTTTTTTAGATGTCATTTGGATATATATATATATATAATATATGTAAAATTTATATATTTTTTCAAAAAATATTTGTTGTATGTATAATTATATATATAATTATACAGTCCATGTTAATCATAATTGTTAATATTACATGGGATAAAAGATCATTAAAGTCCAGTCATTTCACAATGAATAATAATTCATTAACAAATAATTACAAATTTTACCAGAGTAATGAAAAGTACGAACCACTGTTCTGTTCATATCATAGTTGTGTTTTTAATTAGTGTTTTTTTTATCTTGATTAATTTGTTTTGTAAACAACCCACAATCCCACCCCTACTGTTTTGAACAATTTTGAGCTCCCACCTTGACATTTGATATGACATTGATTGGCCCACTCACCCACATACTTTAGAACAGAACAAAATCTGTCCTTGATGATTGATTAGCCTAATAAATAAATAGAGAATTTTGAAAGGGGAAAAGAAAATGAGTCCACCATAATTCTTGGGCTAGCCAGAAATTCAACTCAAAATTATTACAACACTGACCATCAGAAATTGGCTCAAGAAAAGCTACAAGATTGAGGCATTCTCGATAACGGATAAGTGTAGCTGACCCTCTAAGGAGAAAGAACAAATGCAGAAGCGTCGAGACTCTCAAGGCTTGAAGGCAGAAAATGCCACAACAGAGTTATGTCCACCAAATCCAAAAGAATTTGAAATTGCTGAATCATAAAGAGCTCGGTTAGAATTATGGGTTCTTGTCCAAATAGACTGAAATTAAGTAACGAGCAGACAGGCTTGAAGATAATGAAGCAGGAGCTTGTCATGTAGTTTGAAAGGGTTAGGAGTCTTACCAACATTAACTTCGTGCTGCTGCTTTTTATTGGCAACAGTGTCAAACTCAACTGAAGGCTCTGGATTCTGCATTAAAAAATTTAGCAGTTCAAGTATTTACAGAGCTTCATATAATAGATCACTTAATCTACGAGCATAAAATGAGATGTGATCCTGACTATCATTGATGGGAATTTGGAGGTTTTTGAAGAAGACAGCGAAAGAACAAAATGAATTTCAAACATTGCATTAAATCAAATATTTGAGAATTGGGTGGCAGTTTGATGAAAAAGTAGAAATGGGAAATTATTGTTGAAGAAAAATTAAAAACCATGCATCAACAAGACTCACACACTATCTTAAGTTAGTTTAAATACATTTCCCAGAGAAAACATTGCATTAAACAAGGGACTAAAACATACAAATTGATTAATGGAGGGATGCAGCAATCCTGTGGTAATGGCCTTCACAGTGGCAATGGCTTCTAAACCACCCGCTGCACCCAGACAATGCCCTATCATAGACTGAAACAAACAGCACTTCAATTAGCCAATACCAAGAGAGAAACATCAAAGCATGGTCATAAAAAAATTTTGCAAAATATGGTAGAGGAAAAGAAGGTACCTTTGTTGCATTGATTTTGATGGCCGACGAATTCTTGAACACCTTCTTAATAGCGTTTATCTCAGCCAGGTCACCAGCAAGAGTAGAAGTTGCATGTGCATTGATGTAGTTAACCTGAAAAAGGGACTTGCTTAGTTTGCTAATTTTTACCTTTGGAATTATGCATAAATTTCAGAAAATAATTACAGTCTGAACCCTATTATTTGCACTTTCACATCTGAAGTAAAGAACAACATTGACTAGTCATTATAATGACTTAAGAAACGTAACTATTAGGTCAGTTCTCTACAGTCTCCCTTAAATTGAAGGCCAAATCTAATTGGTAATAAAACTTATGAGGAAATGATAAGTTAACTAGAAGCATGTTTTGAGGAGAGTCAACCAAGACTACCATCAAGTTCACCATGAAACAGAGAATTCATTAATGCTATCGGATTTATTTTTGAAAAAGCAAAAAATGCTTGCCCAGGTGTCAGCAAACCTATATAGAAAGAGACAACATAATATGGGAAATAGGAAATATCTAGAAACCAGACCAAACTGAATTACTCCTACCATATATTAAGAGAATTGGGTGAAAGAGCAGAAAGAATCACCTCCTCAGGGGACACACCAGCATCTTCAAGGCTTCTCTCAATGCACGAAGACACCCCAAGACCATCTGCTCTTGGATCAGTCATGTGATAAGCATCACAATTAACAGCTCCACCTAAGTACTCAGCAATAATTGGTGCACCTCTTTTCATTGCATGTTCCAAGCTTTCCATTACCTGAAAAGCAAAAGAAATACTAGTAATTCATTATAAAAGGCAATTGCATTTCCCCCTCATCCAGATCAGTCAGTTCAATAGAAGCATAAATAGCAAACTAAGTAATAATCAAACAGTGAAGCTGTATGCAAAAGCTCCAAACTGTTAACTCAAGACTGAGTTTTATTAACCAACTAGCTCAATGTGATAAAAGATAGAAAATTATGCAAGTATAACCTGAAATCTTTTCCTCAGTTCCCAAGTCGATGAACATTTATATTTCATACCCACCAAACACCACAATAATTTCTTAGAAAGTTCACATAAATAGTGATGTAAGCTCCACCTGCATCACACAACACACTCCAAGGGCAAAGGATTCAATATTATCGGTATCTCATTCCACACACCCACAAACCATACCCAGGCTACCTCAAAGGTATACCTAAAGCCTGGGAAAAAATGCCTACTTCTGTTGACAACAGTATCACTTTATCACCAATAGAGGCAAAACAAGATGCTAACCAGAAATAGACAACATAACAACCAACAAGAAGCTAAATGATGCTTATATAGGATTAGCATGTAATGGTGCAAGCTTACCAACACTCCTGCTCCTTCACCCATTACAAAGCCATCTCTATCCTTATCCCATGGCCGTGAAGCAGTTTGAGGTTCATCATTTCTTTGAGACAACGCCCTACAAGCGACAAAACCTCCCAGCCCGATAGGAATAATTGCAGCTTCAGTTCCACCAGCAATCATCAATTCAGCCTCACCTCGACGGATGTGGTTGGCAGCAGCATAAAAGCAATAATTGGAGGTAGCACAAGCAGTTGAAATTGAATAATTTGGACCCATGAAACCAAGCTCAATTGCAAGCAAGGCAGATGACATGTTTGTTATAGCATAAGGAATGAAGAATGGTGTTATTTTTCTATGACCTTTCTCTATCAAATTTTGAACGCCATCAGAGAACACTGAAAGACCACCCATACCAGTTCCAACAAGCACTCCACTTCGCTCCTTATCGATCTGCGACAAATACAAATTCAACAAATCCTGTAAGCACTATAAGGAGGAAAAGTTGAAAGAGAACATTGATTTAATGAAGCACTACTAACAAGAGCTGAAATTTCAACTCGAAGCTAAAGCACAAAATAAATTAAATAATGAATCGATAAGCTCAATCACTTGATGAGAGAAAGAATGAGAACAATGAATCCAAAGTCCAGGAACCGCTCATATATTTCTTAGAACAGAATCACTCTCAACATACTATTTTTCTTGTATCCTTACATTCCGTAGGGTAAGAAATTATCCATAGGGAGCATAAATTTAATCAATAATTTTATTTTTTCTAAACACCTTTTCAAAGCCAAATTTCTGGTGGATGCATCACATGTTGAATGTTAAATCCCATTATGAATTACATATAAATACGATGAGTCACAAAGCATATAAAACTACAAAGATTCCTAGGAAAAAGAAATTTTTTGATCGGGAAAAGCCAAAAAACGACCGGAAAGAAATTGCAACAATCCCATTGCTTAACCAAAACAAGACTATAGAACATTCACCTGTTGCAAATACGCACAAAAAAATTTATATCCAGTCAAATAACAAAATAATTACAAAAAAATATATATAATTGCAGTAAAGACACATGCAGCAACAAGCAGAGAAAAGCATAAGGATATGTAGAATTAAGCTGCATCTTGCTGAGGTTCAAAAGATTTCATACAACTCTTTCTTGTAAATATCGCACATCGAGCAAGCCAATAAAAGATTAATCTTTGGATCTGTAATTCAAGAATTAAACATGCAAATCACTAGCAAACAACCCAATTAACAAAACCCACCAACTAAAAACCATTAAAAAAGAACCACCTTAGATAACTTATCGCCCCCGAGATCCGCATCTTCCAACGCCTTCTTGCCAGCAACAATGCAGTACCTCAAGCAATCGTCAAGTCGCCTATCGTTCTTTCCATCAATGTAACCTTGAGAAGAGAACCCCCGGATCTGACCGGCGAACCGGGTAGGAAACTTGGAAGCATCGAACCGGTCGATGGGTCCGATCCCGCTCTCTCCAGCCAGCAATTTATCATAGTAAGCATCGACATCATTCCCAAAAACGGAAACCAATCCCATACCTGTAATAACGACCCGCTTTTTGGGGTCCTTCTCGCGCTTGGGAGCAGAAACGGTGGGGGATGAAGCGGTAATGGAAGAGAATCTCTTGGTTGGCCTGGGCGGGAGTCTTGATACATTGGGAAAATGAGGATTGAGCTTGGGTTTTCGGAGAGGGTTTAGAGGGGAAGCTCGAAGTGATGGGGCTTGAAGAGCCTGCATGGTTGATGCAAGGAGCTCAGGGCGATGATACCAAAGTGAAGAGAGAAAAACAAAAAGGAGACGTTTTTTGCGTTCCGGAAAATTGGAACTGGGCCAGCTCCAACCCAAAACAAAATAAAAAAAGTAGGCAGAAGACAACCAAATCCAACAGCCGAATAAATGGAAGTACAACAAATGTTGCTAGTAACCACTACAGTTCTACATAAAGGCTCAACTCCGGATTGTGGAAATTCTTTGATTTTGAAACGAGCGTTGAGCTGCACTCACCAACCTCGCTACATTGGGGACCATTTGATGTGGCGAACGATGGATTTTTTTTTAAATTGGATGGGGTGCTATTTTTTTTACCTAAAAAATGGAACATGAATCATGCCCAATATACTAATGTTTTAATAATATATTTCATAAATCAATATTAATTAATTGGGATAACAAAGGAAATTGAAGATATTATACTAAAAAAAAAAAAACTACCATTGAAAATATTTATTGGATATATTAAAAAGGATTTTATAATGGTTATGCTACATAAACCAATATTTATATGACTTTACATAATAGTATAATCTGTTTATAAAATATTAAAATTTTAATTTTAATGATAAATTTTAATTTTTAAAAAATATAAAATATATATTTATATAATTTCATTGAATGAAATCCTCGATCCAAATATCATTTAATCACTCGGGAGGTTCAAATAAAAAAGTTTCTTTGACCTTTTTTTTTACTTGTAAATTGCATAACATTTTCACGATATTCAATTGCTATTCATAATTATTTTTATTCATTATAAGTTTATTCAACAATCAACAACATCTTAGTACAATATAAAATGAAATTTGTTACGTTTATATTCATTTAAGAATTATGTAGCAAATTTCATTAATATTTATGCTAAACGCATGTTTGAATGGATGAATTTAAAATATTGTGATTGAAAAATCCAAATTTTAAATTACAAAAGAAAATAAAAAATAATAAAATATCACAAACTAACAGTGCAATTTACTCAATGGTCTATCAATGAAGCATAAGCAAGTTTTATTTCTTTTACCATTGACAGGAAAAAAGGAAAAGAAAAATAAAGAAGTTGAATGGGGTAATAGTTATGTGGAATTGGGCCTGTTGTACTGTTACTAAAAGCCCGGACTATTACTATTGATGGAAGCCCATTATTCAGCTCGGAGGGCTTACATATGCACTAAGCTTCACGCGTGGAATTCCAAATTCCAACTCCGTCCGACTAGAAAAAGGCGAGTGGTGGTTACTGCCTAACCAGTGAGAGCCGGCCGACACGAAGCAAAGCAGAAGCTCTCGGTCTGGGTCTGGGTCTTATTCTGCTGCCTGCGCAACAGAGACTTGAAACAAAAAGGAAAAAAATGGCAAAGAAAGCTTTAAAGTCGAAAATTTCTCGTTCATCTTCAACCTCCGCTGCCTCTGCTAAGAACTCACCCTCCAATCAGTATTTCTCTCTTTTCCCTCGGCTTTATAGTATTATCTTTTTTTGTTTGTTATGTTTATTTGTTTTTCTGGTATGGAATTTTTGGGGTTTAACAATATATATGGTTGCTTAAAAAATATGTTAGGAAAATGGTGTTAAGGGCAAAATCAAGTGAGAAAATGAAGAGTTCAGGTCAACAGAGTGTTTTTAGGGATAGAGAAATGAGACCCAAGTCGAAGTCAAAGCCCAAATCGAAGCCGAAGAAGAAGAACACCAAAATTGATGCTAGAATGCCCAAGAAACCCCCAACAGCCTTCTTTTACTTCTTGTGAGTATTCCTTATGTATCATTGCTGTTCACAGAGTTGGTTAACTTTTTGATGATAATAACATTTCTCTGTGGCTGCAGTTTTTCATGCTTCCTATCTTTTATCTTTGTTTCTCTATTCTTTTGGCCAAACTTGGAAAATTTTCGCTGTGCTGTTGAATTAAAGTCTATCTGCATATTTGTTGTCTGTCTTCATATGCGAAATTTTGAGTTGGTTTTTTAGGCTTATCAATGGTTTTATTTCCTTGCCTTCAAACTGGGATTCTGGTTCTTAAGTTAGAGTTTATATTTTATGGGGCCTTGGATGTCCTAGGTTCAAATGTATATAGAAAATATATATTCTGGATGGCGAGCATTGGTGCCTTTATCAAAGGATTTGCCTGCTAGTTTTGTTGAAGAAAGTGAATGTCCTTCTGTGATAGAAACAAATCTAACTGAGTTTTCTTTTCACTTATACTCAAGGGAGGATTTTCGTAAGGAATTTCAAGAGCAGAATCCCGGTATCAAGTCAATGCGTGATGTATGTTATGGTTTGAGAACACAAATCTTAATTTAGCCAATGAATCTCTCTCTTTCTTTAATGTATACGTTAATGAATCCTGCAATATATTGTTTCAGATTGGAAAGGCATGTGGTGAGAAGTGGAAGACAATGACATATGAGGTTTGTGCCTTGTAATATTGAATTGGCTCTCTTTTTCTTCCCTGTTGTTTAGTAATTCATATAATTTGCATGTGCTATTTTTGGTTCACCTGCAGTATGAATTGATCCACGCTCGGCATGTAAATCATAATCAGGCTGTTCTCATGATGTTGCAAAATAATAGCACTAGCAGTTATGATAATTTTTATTGAACTTTTGTGGATATGCTTGTAAGAGTTAAGTTGTGGATACATTTTTAACTGAGTCTGAGAGCCAAGCAATTTTAGTAATGATATTTTGTCTTGTGCTAGTCAAAATCATAGGTCATGATCATGGGTGACATCAGCTTGTCAAAGCCTACTTAAGTTCTCTTTTAAGTATAAGGTGCACATTCATGATCTGCTCATGGCATTATTTGCATAATGGGTGACACTGGCTTGTCAAAGCCTACTTAAGTTCTCTTTTAAGTACAAGGTGCACATTCATGATCTGCTCATGGATTACTTGTATAATGGGTTACGTCGGCTTGTCAAAGCCTACTTAATTTCTCTTTTAATTACAAGGTGTACTACATTCATGATCTGCTCATGGCATTATTTGTATAAGGATGAAGAAAATAGCTTTGATATCCTATGGCACCTTACTTTTAAGACTTACATATTGCTGCTTGGTAATAAAATTGTTCCAATTTTTTTTTATTGGCCACTACCCTTAAAGGATTTCCATGACCTAGCTAGGGCTGCAGAAGTTAGCTCATAGCTTGTATAAATGTGGCAACCTATATTAATGCATGGCAAGGATGCCAATGATCTTGAGGGCTGATTGTTTATATTCCCCATTTGGACTTGAAGAAAATAAAAAAAGGATATGTAAGTAGAAAATAAAGGACTTTATAGAGAAAATGAGAAACAGTTGTCTGGGTTGTCTTAACTTTTTAATTTCATTTTTGTCTTTGATAGGAAAAAGTTAAATATTATGATATCGCAACTGAGAAACGAGCAGAGTTTGATAGAGCCATGGTAGAATATATTAAAAGAAAGGTAAACTTGCTTTGGGTTTTCTATTGTATTTTATCTCTGAAGAAAGTCTTTAATTTTTATTGTAGAACAGCTGCAATAGATAAGCAGTAGTTATCTTGCTGAAAATTTTCATTCCAGGAAAGTGGTGAAGATCAAGAAAGTGAGGATGACTCGGAGTTTGATGAATAAACCTTAGGGTTATGGTAACAGGAAATTCATTGTTTCAGGAGGAATAGATGTAGTGATTATGACTTATAACATGTATAATACTGCATTGAATATGTTCATGCCTGTTATCATTTTTGTGTAAATTACTGCTTGGAGGTTGCCCTTACGTTTATTGCGGTTCAGACTTGGTAGTTCATCAGACTATTGTTCAAGTAAATATTCATGAATCTGATGCTTATTAAGTGATGCTGCTTTACTATTTTTTCCACCTTTTTGAATTTTCCCTGATCCTCTAGTGCTTGAATCTAGGGACCAGGCCTTCTCTGAGTTTGTTTTGTATACTCTCTTTCAGTCTCTCCCCCTTTAATCAGCCTTCTATCTTCGCGAAATTAGATTCAAAATCGATAGACATAAGTTTTTACCATTGAGCCGGAGAACATATAACATCTGCAATCTCGTAGTCTCTTTGTTTGATTTAACTAGGTTGTTACTTTCTCTCTTCATACTAGAAAAAGAGTCTGGGACATGAGAATTGATGTACTGTCATCGTGATTATTTTTCTTTCGTCAACCAATGCTTCTTCCATTATACAGTACGCATTCAAATTTGCACAAAATTACAGAAAGGCAAATGGCATTTTGGTCTGATACATCGCAATAAAAGCCTTCGTAGAGGATGGCTTTTGAAGGGAGAAAGTTACCAAGAAAGAGGTTTAGTCTGAGTTTCAAAGCAGTGATAGACAAAGGACAAATCAGCATGCAGATTGAGTAATGCATGTTTCACCTTTTTCTCTATATACTGGCAAGGCTGGAGTTGGAGGCAAGACGAGAGGAGAGATGCTGGCAGCTTTGAACTCTTTAAATTGCTTCCGGGCTGCGGCAGAAAATATTCGTTGCCTATTTCTGCTTTGGGGTGTTCCTCTAATGATTATTATTCAATGTGCTATTGGGCACAGAATGTGGGCCTAAAGTAACCCATATGTAACGTACCGCCCTCAATGGTCAGTAGATGTGATACGAATCATAGAGAAGGAAAAACGAAATCCCCCAATCAGGTATTTTTGACCAAATGCTTCAAATTCAACGCAGATTCCACCCAAAAATAAATAAATACAAAAATTCCAACAAACCACCAAATAAAAACCACACAAGAGGAAAATACAGTCACCAAATTGAGCGGATAACCTTATATTCTTAAACATCCTCCTAAGAACCTAGTATTTCACAAAAAAAAAAGAAGTTTGTCTTCCTTTTTTCTTTTTTTTTCTCTCTTTTTCCTTGAGCCTTTTTTCCTTTCACCTATGTTCCAAATTCAACCATCCAGGTGGTGCATCCCCAGAGCCACCACCGCCATCAGTTGAGGCATACACCGAACGGGAGGATGGTGTGGCGGAGGAACCAAAAATGGATCCTAATATGGAAAATGCTATGCAAAATCAAATAAACGGTGCCTCTAAGCAATGTTTTATTTTGAATATAACCACTTCCAATGGAATCTGGCATGGTGACAACCCCTTCACTGAATCTCTCCCTCTCATCATCAAGCAATTCGCGGCCATCCTAATCCTCACTCGCTCTCTTTACCACCTTCTCAAACCCTTACATCAACCACGCATCGTTTCGGATATTCTCGTAAGTGGCATTATTGTTGATATGTTTCCCATTTCCTTTTATCTTTTTAATTGAGTACTTATTACACCAAAGTTGTCTGAATTTATCCGCGAAGATTAATACTTATCATAAGTAGAATATAGTAATGATTTATAAAACTATATATTTGATGTGCAGGGTGGCATACTGTTAGGTCCATCTGCATTGGGGAATACAACTTATTTTGCAAATCTGTTCCCCACAAAAAATTTTATTACAATAGAAACTATAGCGTACATGTCACTTCTTTTTCACGTCTTCTTGGTTGGCTTAGAGCTTGACCTAAGTGCCATCAGGCGCATAAGCAAAAAGGCTATATGTTTCACTGTAACTGGACTTTTTGTTCCATTGGCCATGGGAATTGTGCTCTTTTATCTATTGCATCCATTTTCGGAGCAAAATCAGCCTCATGTTCATGAAGTTACTGTAAAAGGTAGTTTTTTACGGGCTGCCGCACTATCAGTCACAAACTTCCCCGTTGTCAGTCGAATTATATTGGATCTCAAGCTACTGAAATCAGATATCGGAAGATTGGCAATGCCTATTGCCCTTATCAGTGACATCGGCTCTTGGGTTCTTATAGCCATTTTGATCCCATTGACTGCTAATCCCACAAATGCTCCATATGTCATCACTACAACAGCAGCCTACGTATTAGCCTCCATTTACATAATTCGTCCATTCCTTGCATGGAGCACTCGCCGCACTTCTAATGGGAATAACAATGGCTACAGTGATTTTTACCTGTGTTTTGTTCTTGTTGGGGTTGTGCTAGGAGCATTGTTAACGGATGTGACTGGCAGTCATCCCATTGTCGGGGCTTTCATATTTGGGCTTATTACTCCTAATGAGCTGGTGCTTGCGTTGATGGAGAGGTTCGAGTACTTTGTTTCAGGACTTATGATGCCGGTGTTCCTGGTAATTTCTGGGATGAAAGTCGACCTCTTTAAAATAACACAGTGGATGTTCGTATTGCTTATTGTAATTATGCTTTGCGCTGTTAAGATTATTAGTTTCCTACCGATGTCTTTAGTCTCTGACATTGACCCTAAAGATAGTTTTGCTGTTGGATTACTCATGAGCACAAAAGGGATATGGGCCATTCTTATCATTAACACTGGATTGGACAAAGAGGTACTTCCATTTTCTCTATTTACACTTTCACACCAAGGTAATTGATGAAACCTTGCAATTTAGATGTAATTTTTTTACTCTATTTAGGTTGTGCACGACGAAGACTATGCAGTGATGATGGTTACAATTCTATTAATGACCAGCATAGTTGCTCCTACCATTGCTGCCATTTACAAGGGGACCAAGCTTACTACAGAATATTACAACCGTAGAACTATACAACAAGATAAAACAGAATCAGAGCTACGAATCCTCACATGCATTTATTCCTTTTGCAATGTGCCGGGAATATTAAAGCTACTTGATGTCTCTCACGCTATCCGACATAATCATATCACAGTTTTCACTCTCCACCTCGTTGAACTCACTGACTGTGAATCAGCTCCCATGCTTATTGTGCATGACTCACACCACAAGTTTGACAACTCCATCTACCACCCTGACTACGGTGATAGCTCCGAAATGGATCAAATCGTCAATGCCTTTAGAGAATATGAAATCAAGACTCGCAATATCAGCGTCCAATCCTTTAGTGCAGTGTCTCCGTTTGTGGCTGTGGACGGAAATATTTGTAGTCTAGCTGAAGACAAGAATGTGGCATTCTTGATCTTACCATTCCACAAGCGAGCCAACATAGAGGGGAATCTAGAGGAGGGAAGCTCCGCCTTTCGCAACATAAACCAAAACGTGCTTCTTAATGCTCCTTGTTCTGTAGGAATCTTCATAGACCGTGGACTTGAAGAGGTCACAGATACCAAAGTCAGCAATGAAATCCATGAAATAGTCATGGTATTCCTTGGTGGAGCTGATGACTGTGAAGCATTAGCTTATGCTTGGAGGATGGCAAAGCATCCAGAAGTAAGCCTAACGGTGATAAGGTTATTGGAAATGGATTCTGTGGATCTCAAGGGCTCAATAAAATCCTCAAGCTCATACCTTGACAAGCTAAGGCAGATTGATGATGATTACATAAATGAGTTCAGGCTACAAACTGGTGGGGAGGAACTTATTGTCTACGAAGAGAAAATTTTACAAAATGGAGAAGAGCTGGTTGTGACATTGAAAGAAATAGAAAATAAATTTGACCTATTCATAGTAGGAAGAGGAGAAGGAATACATTCACCATTGACAACAGAGTTATTGAACTGGGTTGATTGTCCGGAGCTAGGGGTTATCGGTGACTTGTTGGCAACATCCGAAACTGCCAGAGGTTCAGTCCTAGTGGTGCAACAATTCTTTGATTTTGGAAATAGCATAGCCATTGAAGATTTGGTTGGGACACCAAGGATGTACGTACGGGACGCTAAAGAAATTCCGGAGTCGGTGGCTATAAATGGGGAGCAGTGGTAGGTTAGGGATGTACACGAGGGATCGATGATGATGACGATGATTAACGGGCTGATCCTTTTTCTTTCTGCCCTTTTTTGACTAAAAGGAAATTGTTTTCAGTTTATTCATAGGACACTAGAAAATTAGGAAAACTTGTAGTAATATCTCTTCGCCTTTGTCGTCATGTCATAAAATTATTGACCTATCTATCAATTTTCATTAAAGCACAAAATTGACTGGGGTAGTAAGAATCGTGTAAATGCGAAGAAATTCTTAAGTCGTTGAGCCACACAATTGGAAAGTACTTTGGTAAATATCAAGGATATCAATTTTAATTTTTTATTAGAATAAAAATGAAAATAATAATAGATATTAAATTTTAAGATGTGGATAAGTATACTTTTATTTTTTTTTATCAGGATACGAGTAATACTATATTTGTTTCATACTCATATTTTATATATATTTATATATTTTTAGTAAATAATTTTTTTTAAATAAAATAAAATTGTTTTTTAAATTAATTAAAACTAATATATTTTCTTTTAAAAATATATATATTAGTATATATTTATAAAAAATTATATTAAAGTGAAAAATTAAAAATTAAAAAAATAATTTTTATTTAAAAAAAAAATTATATATATGAGAATTATTTATACTAAGATGAAAATAAATATAAATTTAAAATATTCATTAAATGAGTACAAAAATAATAATATAAAAATTAAAAAATAAAAATATTTACCCATCCTATATCCTGCTTATGATATTCTTAGTAGACATGGAGCATTAATGAAGTGATACAATATCACAGCTTAGGATTTAAGACTAAGGGTGTAATTGAGTCAAATAGAAATGATACAGTAAAAAGCTCAAACTCGAGCTCAACTCTCAACTCTTAACTCGCGACTCGATATTTGGTTCAAACTCAAATTTGAGTTTTATTTTCTTAACTCTAGCTCAATTCGTGATCGAAATTAAGCTACTCGACTCGATACTCGATTTGAATTCGATCGAGTTTTATTTTTCTAATTCGAGCTAGGTTCATGATCAAAATTGAGTTACTCGAGCTCGTTTGATTAGATTCGATTAATATGTAAAAATAAACTTGATTCTTATACTTGATAAAAACTTGATTATTTGTACTCGAGCTTTTGAGTTTGAGTTCTTTTATAACTATTTTTTATCAAACCTAATAAATATTATATTTTAAAAATAATAACAATAATAATAGCAATAACAATAATAACAACAACAACAACAATAATAATAATAACTAACACAACAACCAAATCTAAGTAAATAAAAGTCTCATCAAATGATTCAAATATAACACACAAATAAAAGACATAAGAAACTTAGAAATTAAAGTCCTAATTGAAAGAAATTAAATGTCCAAGTAAATAAGTTCATAAATAAATTACAACAAACCAACAATAATATATATGCTGCATTCACAATATTATATCTTCAAATGAACATTAGGTCGATATTGTTTTCCAACAAAACTACACAAAAAGAATCATTACAAAATAAACAAATTATAATTAACAATAAGAATAACAATGGAAGCACCCATGTAAAAAAAAAGATTGTGATATTATTACAATGATCAAAAACTTTAAATTTTTAATATAAGCATAAACATGAACTATATCTTGTCAATTGCTTTACAATCAAAGCAAAAAAATATAGACAGTGTCTTACCAATTGCCTTAACATAAGTTTTTGTCATTAGTTAACTTATGGTTCGTAAACTATAATGCAAAAAGCTTAATTTAGACTAACTTCCACCTATTTTTCTTTAGTAATGTTGTGACAAATTAAAGGTATTTAGTAATAATATTACATATTTGTATAGAAGACACTAGATATCCTCATTTTAGAGGATTTTGAGTGCAATCTCAATTGATTTCTTCTCTTTCTATACAGATAAAGTAAAGAAAAATAATAGTTAAAAATTATATTAAAGCAATGATAGTCACCCAATAACAAAATAATAATAAAAAAATCACTTTGTTCTTCTTCTTCACTCCATGAAGATTTCGACACTAATCTCCTCCACCAAATAATGCTTGCATCGTGTCAGGAGCTAAATAAGTATGATAAGTATTAACAATTCTATCTCCCACGTTAAAGTTAGCCTTTGAAGCCATTGTAGTTGTTGTAACGGTTTTGTGTCCACCCGACGAATTTGAAAATAAAAGGAAAAAAATGAAAAAATATGGAGTTACCACCAATCTTTTTTGGTTAGGTGCGATTGACTACCTATTAAAACATATCATTTTAATAAAATCTTAAAATTAATTAAAATTTATTAAAAAGATAATTTTAGGGTCTGCGAAATAGTCTAAGTTCAAGAGTCGATTATGTGTGGGTAAGGATTAGCACCCCCATAATGCCCGTTTAAAATATTACCAATTAATTATGTGTTATCCATTGATTTTGATAAAAATAGTCTTATTTTCAATGTTTGAAAAATAATTTCCTTGAATTTTCATTTATTAGTTTTTTTCATATCTTTTATTATTTATTGTTTCATTTTTATTCAAGAAAAATAAATCAGAACTTTTTTATTGAAATAATTCTTAAAATGTTTTAGTACGTTGGTAACATTGAAAGAGTTCTTTCTTATTTAGAGATTTCTTAGGCGTTGTTTCTCGAAATACCTTAAAATCTCATCTTCAGAGGCTCAAATTTATTTTTCATAAAAAATTATGTCGTGCATGCAATGCAAATGCTAACATGTTGATGCACAGATTTTATTTTACTCTTTATAAATTTGATTGGTTTTTATTATTTTTTTTCAATTTTTTTAAGAAAAGAGTAATTTTTATTATATTAAAGATTTTCTATAAATATTCTAATACACTGATAATATTTTTAAAAAATCCTCTCACTTAGAGATTTTTTAAAGCATCTATATTCGAAATACTTTTAGAATCTAGTCATCGGATAAAATTTTTTTCTTATTTTTTGTCACTTTATTCTTAATTTATTAGTTAATTTTTATTTACTATTTTATAATAAAAAAATTTTATTGTATTGAAAATATTTTATAAATACTATAATACACTGGTAGTATTTTAAAAAATCTTCTTACCTAAAGATTTCATGGGTATCACTACTCGAAGTACTTTTGAATCTCATCATCAAATAAAATTTTTTTTTCTTACATTTTTTTCTTATTCTTTGTTATTATTTTATAAAGTTTATTTTAAAAATTAACAAAATTATCAAAAATTTTAATTATGTATTTCATTATTTATTTTAATTATTTTTATTAATTATTATTAAAATAATAAAAATCTATTTTAGCAAATTTAAGCATTTTAACATGCATAAATACTAATAATAAAATCTAAAATAATAAAGATAATATAAGAAAATTCAAAAAAATTTTTTTACCTGAACCAAACTGATCAACGGTTCGGTCAACACTAGTCTAGGCTAGTATGCTAGGTTCAATGGTTCGGCACTGGTATGGTCCGATCTAGGCTAGTTCAACTAGATCGATTGGGAGTCAAATGGAGAATGGGTGGCCGAGTCAGTGCGCAGACCTTAGGTCGGCTCTCGAGTATACGCATGGATCCTTTGGGGTTAAAACGTTGTCGTTTTACTTCTTGCCTAAATGACATCGTTTTGAAGGCTTATTTAAAGGTCAAATCAACTATTTTTTTAGTTTTCTTCTTCTTCTTTCTCTCTTTGCCTTTCAGACACTCTTTTTTTCTCTCTAGAAACCTAAAATTCGGTAACTGTTATGCCATACTGACCGTCGTTGATAGTCGCCGACTGCCATCTGTCAATTATAAAAAAAACTTAAATCTCTAAAAATCTTCCCTTCAACTCCTTAAACACAAATTCGAGCTTAGTTTTGAAAAAAAAAAGGCTTGAATTGCGTAGATCTAGCCTGAAAGATTTGGCCAAAAGAATTTTTTTGTTTTTTGTTTTAAGCTAAGATCCCATTTCAAGGAATGTGTATATTTTTTATGTTTGATTCCTCTTTTTTTTTTTCACAGAAAGCTTTTTTTTTTTGGAATCTGGCAATGCTTTTTTTGGATTTTTTTGGCATTTTTCTCCTCATTTTTTTGTTGGTAGTTTCATTGCTTTATTTATAGAGCAAAAAGAAGACCAAAATCTCAGACAATCTGAGATTTTGGTAGCCTAAGATTAGGGTGACCATTAACTGTCAGAATGACTGTTGGTGACTGTCAGAGCTATTTACAGTGTAGCTGCAGGTGGTTGTCAAAGCCGTTAGCACTGCGACTGCCAACGACTGATAAAAAAGTTGCCAGAAAAGAAAGAAAAAAAGAAAAAAAGAAAGAAAGAATAAATAATAATAAAGAAATAATGTCTACAGTAGTGATAAAAATAATAAGTATATCTTGAGCCATCTTTGATAAAATACGGTACTTCAAAGTACTAACTTTTCGTCATTTCAAAGCATCAAATTTAGTGGAATCTCTTTTACTGACAAAGTAACCCTCAGCTAGCTAGACATTTAGATCAAATTATTGTGGTTGAGCAGTTTTAACAGATTTTACATAATTTGCAAATTTAGACCAACCAAAAGAAAAAGATTCTATATTCATACCACTAATACTATTATTATGCACGTGAGTTTTAGCACTATGCTCATTACCAAATTGATACTCATGAATATATTCTTCATAAATCTCATAAAGAGCATCCCAAACTTTAGCAATATTTTTTTTTACTTTTTTATTAGGGTATATTCAAGGAAAGCAAAACTTAACTACCCTCATTTTGCACCTTGGATCCAAGATAGCTGCTATAGCCATTAACAAATTACATTTTTTCGAATACTTATCAAATTTACTCTTCATCATTGCTTGAATAAATTCATTTTTATCATTCATCTTTTTATCTAATAACACTTTCATATGATAAACTTCATTCAAAAATAGGTTTGAAGTTGGATAATCACTTTTAGAGATGATTTTAGTGGCTGAATTAAAAACTTCTAAAATCTCACAAACTTTCTTCACATTTTCTCAATATTCATGATTTGGATAATATTCGTAATGAGATTCTCATTCTTTGAGTCTTGAAAATAC